CTGCAGATGGACTCCCCACGACACCCGACACCCACCCACCCGAAAACCGCGGTCGACCCCCCCCCGGAAAGACCGCGAACGGGCGTACGAAAGTCCGTACGTACGGCCCGTACGGGCCCCCGGGGGTTCGTACGTACGATCGTACAGAAGTACGTACTGCCCGTATACGTATGGGCGTATGCACAGCGTATCGCCAGACTGGATTCCCGATCTCGGTCTCTTCATTTTGGACAAGAATATATGGGAGTATCAGCGAGTAAATTGTTCACGCTGATATCTAAACATCGAATCGGTTGTTGCGCCGGATGGGCAAGTTCCCGTGATATTGAGGATGGGCGCCACCGCGGATGACCTTGTGGTCGATAGAGATATGGGTGGGAACTTCTGGTACCTGTACTCCTTGGAAGACGAAATTGATGTAGAGCCCGTCGGCGAGGAAGGAGATCCAGCACCTGCCACTCCTGAAGAGATGACGGACGTGTGGCGCGTCCACTGTGCGAAGCAGAGATGGTCAGACCCCGGCAGGAGGCACGTAAAGCTTTGTGCCTGGTTCTGCCTAGGACAACCGGTTGTGCCCGCACCGGCCATCTTGGATTATTACGGTCACATTCGGGTATTCAACCGTAACACGACGGTCGTGACGCTGTTCACGACCGTGAAGGTTGGCGGTCGAAAAATGAAACCACTTTTCATTGCAAGGGAGGAGTTCCAAGGAGTCGCCCTCAATTTTGTGCAAGCGTTTCGCAGCCCCACGGTCGAGGGTGCGCTCGGACGCTTCAGAGATCGGTTGTCACATGATGCTGCATTAAGGAAGGAGCTCAACTCTCGAGTCGACTGTTTGGTGCACACTCAGTTGCACTACCTTCTCGATAACTATGACGAGATTTTCTGGACAGTGGAACATAGGGACCACAACTTAGAGACTGTTTTTCGAGAGGTGGAATATCGTCTGTCGACGGCCCGTTATGTGTACGACTGTCCGTACTGTCGCAACGGACATCCTGAATATCTGTAAGGAAAATGGTCCCCAATAGGAGAGTAGTCTGACCGTCCACATGAATGACGTGTTGGAAATGAGTCGAAATTAAGCGGCGGTTGCAGGACGTGCGCTCACTTGCGAAGTGCGAATCTACTCTCACTTATCGACCCACATGAATGATGTGTAGAAAATAAGTCAGCGGCGGTTGCAGGACTTGCGCTCACTTGCGAAGTGCGAATCTTGTCTCAGTTATCGACCCACATGAATGACGTGTAGAAAATAAGTCGGCATTAGACGGCGGTTATAGAACTTGCGCTCTCTTGCGATGTGCGAACCAATTCCCAATTATCGAACCCTTTCGTGCGTATCAAGATCCTGTATTTTTTGCTTATGCACTTGGAAAAATCGCAACTGACGCGCTTCCTTGCCTTTCTCTGCTGATGCAGAATGGATATCGGGACTTCGCCGCAGAATAGGAACTCCTCAGCACCGGAGATCGATCTAATCATTTTGTCGAAGAACATTTGGGAAGACATTGGACGCTCTGGTCTGGACTGTGACTACCTGCACGTCGAAGATGATGTTGCCCCGGACGGGGAAATCCCTTTGTGGCAAAGTACGGAAGAAGGACACCTTCGGATTTGTCGTGATGTAGGATCGAACTTTTGGTACCTGTACACTCTGATGAAGGATATACAGGCATACCCTATCGGGTTGGAGTCACTTCTGAAGAGGAAACCCGTCGAAGAGGAAACCCGTCGAAGAGGAACCCGTCCAAACTTATAAGATGGTTGAAGCATGGCACATTTTATGTGAGAAACTTAAGTGGGAGTCGTTGGACAAGTTGCATCAAAAATTGTGTGCCTGGTTTTGCATCGGCCAACCGACGAAGTCGGCCCCGGTGATCATAGACCACTTCGGTCGAACGAGGGTATGTAATCGAGGCACCACCGTCGTGACGCTTTTCACTGCCGTGAAGGTGGACGGTCGACGAATGAGAGCTCTTTTTCTCGCAAGGGAGGAATTTCACGGTGTCACACTCGCTTCTTTTAAAGCGTTTCACACATCCGGCCCTACTGGTTCCCTTGCAGGGTTCGAAAACAGGCTCGCCATAGATCAAGCACTCAAAGATGAGCTGCATTTGCGGGTTGACTGTTTGGTGCACCAACAACTTCACTACCTCTTCGATAGTTGCGACGAAATAAATTTCACAGTCGAACATAGGGACAACGAATTGCGATTTGTTTACTGCCATCTGGATTATTCAGCCTCCAGACCTCAGGAAGTGACTCTGCGCAACGGGAAGACGAGATACGTGTGCGACTACCCTTACTGCGATGCTGGACATCTACATCTTCACTTGTGACGTTTTGAATTACTTGCTTCGTGTTCTCTCTACTGCGAATAGACTCACACTATGCTTACAGCCCGTTGAATTCCATGTTCGCCCGCTTACTTATTTCTCGTTCATCATGCCCCATCCTCTTCGGTATACCCCGATGCATGACAAACTGTCTATCTAATTACGAGTTCGTTCGCACTTTGCCAACATCAGTCGGTCTCAACTTCGTTGCTTACCCGCCTCTCCGTGTATGACAAGGTGGAATGTTTGACACCCGCAACGGCGCTGTTCTCTCTTCTGATGCAGGATGTCGTCTGAAAGTTTCGGTAGGACCATCGTTGTCAAAGACCTCGGCTATTGTGAAAGTCTGCAAAGTGCAGTTGTTGCCGCAGCTGAGAACATTTATGGTTTAGAGTGGTTTCACAACATTGGGCTTCCCAGATACAGCTACCTTCCGGTCCCCGAAGACGTTCACGCTCGTGTCCAGCCGTCTGTTTCGCCCCCGCCTACCCCAACTTTTCAGCACATTGTGATGGTCACACTACGCGATAGGCCCGTATTCATAATTGATTTCTACATTGCGTATGAAGGGGAGTTGAGAAGCTGTTTGTATTATTCGTACGTAACCAGCACATTTTTCAATAGAATGCCAGAAGGTTGTGAGCCTGCCATTACGTTTTTCTTATCGATCGTCATCATGTATATCGCCTCGTGCTTGCATGGAGAATTATTCCTTGTGTCTGGCGTGAAAGAGGATGATGACAGTCCACCGTTCTGGGGAGACCGTTGTCCGTTCCAAATCCGTCACTTGGGCAATTTGAATCGAGATTTAAGAGATATACTCATGCGCGACTTGCCGGATATCGAAGCAGATCTTCAGGCCCGAATTCCTGAACCAAGTCTTTTTAATCGAGTTCAACATAGACAAGCGCAACGACGACGATCGCGGGAGGCTGCTCGAAGACTGTACATGCTCAGCCTGCTACCATGAAGATCGTACTAACTCTTTTCACACGACGCATGCTATGAAGATACTCATCATCTCAGGATATTCGGATTCTATATGTGAATAGACTCCTATTTATCACCTCACTCCTTTTGCAGTGGGTCTGGCCCTATCACGTTGTGGACATCATGTCGGGCTTGGATGAACTTTTGTGTGGGACTTGTGTAGGCAGGTGAACATCGTGTTGGGTTTGGATGACCTTTTGTCTTCAGGACTTCGGCACGAATCAACGTTTGTGTAGGTCTTCGGTTGAGCTTGTGTTCAACATGTTCGTATTAGAGGTAGGGTTTGTTTCATGTGTAATGCAGGACTTTTCGGCTTGTGGCAAAGAGGGCGAGTCATATAGACTGTACGGAAGCGTCTTCTGTAGATAAGGGCATGTCATGTAGACTATACGACGTGGGCTTGAATGATTTTTGGAATGCCTACATGTGCCTTAGAACGTGTCCTTCAATGATTTTGGAGAGGCTCCATGTACTTTGTGAATTTTGGAAAGCTTCCGTGTACTTTGCAATTTTGTATTGAATTGTTTTTGAAAACGCCTCTGTGTACTTTGCAATTTGYCATTGAATGATTTTTTTGCATTGAATGATTTCTGGAAACTCTCTTTGTGGTGTACAACTTTACCTTTTAGAAAAACACTAGGCAACTTGAAGGCGATGACAAGAGTTACTTATAGGAATGGATATGGATCTTCTCCACACAAAGATTTGATGACATGTTCATCGGGGAATATACAAATGACAAGCCAACAACCATATTAAAAATCATCACGCTGATGGTGTCTGCACCTGCTTCTCCATCTAAGTGCGAGTTCATTCGCACTTCTGGTGTAAACCCCGAGCAATTCCCTCGCACTTTGCTTCAACTTGACCTTTACAAAAACAATAGGCAACCTCCAAACGTTTCCCTCTCTCCGTTTCTCCCGACTTCTGCAATAGGGACCTTGCAAATGTTTCGATCTCTCATCTTCATGTGATGGGATGTATGCATGTTTTCGATAAAAAAATGCTCATGTCAAGGAGGGGATCGAACGAACCGCCGGTAAGCACCTGCACATCACGAAGCGAGAGCACGTCCCAATTGGAACATCGTCGGGTTCTTGCGATGTCGACTCCTACATGATGACTACACTGAACAGCGGCAGGATGACCGGTCCGCCTCTCCGATGTGGATCTAACGGTGGATTGCGTCAAATCTGCTTTCATAGATCCACACCGGGGATGGGGGTCGGGATCCGACCACAGTTTGCTTGTAAGGCATCATATGATGTTTCGATATAACCGACATCCAGAACTGCTTGGTGAGCATCTAGTGCTACGCCAATAAGTTCCAAACAAGGTTGCAAAGTCCCCTAAGAATGTTCACTGTCGGTTCCTCACGTCGTCGATTCCCACATGATGAGTACAGTAAACAGCGGCAGAATGGCAGGTCCCCCTCGCCGGAATGGATCTAACGGTGGATTGCGTCAAATCTGCTCTCAAAGATCCACACCGGATAGAAGGTCCTGCAATCAGCCGCTGCTTGCTTGTAAGCATCATATGATGTATCCATACGATCGACATCCAAAACTATTTGGTGAGCATCTAGTGCTACGCTAAACAGTTCTGAACACGACCGCAAGGTCCCCTAAGAATGCTTTTAGCACTAGAGACCTCAGACTGCCGACTGTTTGACACTTCGTGAAGGTGGTCATTTCAACCGATGCAGAAGGCTCGTGATCACTTTCATTGTTTGTATACGTGCCCATGGGTGCTCGGCATTACATACATGTAGTGTTGTTTGACACTTCCTTACGGTGTTCCATCGAACACCGATAACCGTAAATTGACTCATTGTTCAACTACAGTCTCTCTCTCTCTGTCTCTCTCTCTCCTGCCATGCTCGTTGATGTACCTCTCGCCCGGCTGGGTGCAGTGCGGCCGTGCGGTGGTGGTCGTGTTTAACAAGACGCCCATCATCGGAGTTTCGACGGACGTCCTTGGGGGGCATGGTTATTTTCTTTCCCTGTGAGCTGGGTGAAAGCATTTGCTGATTTTTTTTTTTGTGGCCTGCAGGGCATTTGCCGATCGCGATGGCCATGTCGGAATGGATTACCCCGGGTAATTGGCGTGAGCGCATGGCATACCCTTTTCCCCCATGCGCGCTGCGCGTCTCCGGCAGTGGAGACTTCACTGTTATTGACGGTGTGACAAGAGACGACTTCGAGTGTGATCCTTAGATGAAGGTCGTCCCGTTCACTGATGCTCCCCTGAACTCGTGAAAAGAGCATGAATGGGACAAAATGCTCAGTCAGTGTAAGTGGGCGGACGACTACAAGTTCGCTAACATGTGCGAGTTTGGGAGTTTCATTCCCATGCCTAGAGTTGTGATGGGTTCAGTTCGGTGTCGTTGCTTAAGTGCAAAGCTGAATATTCCTCGTCATCAAAATGTGTTGGCCTGCAGTGTCGTGACTACTTCGCCGCGCACATGGTCCCGTGCGCTGAAACACGAGTTGCTTGCCTGTGCACGACATTCCAAGTTCCTCGATCAGTACCCGTTGCGCTCTCCAGGGCTGTTGCCTCGAGCAGTTTCCTACTGCTGCGTTACATTGCGTCTCGGAAAGTTATTCTTATCTAGGATCCTTTGCGTCGCATGTTCAAATCGGAATAGGACCTTGATTGACGCTGTGGTCTACGTGTCCAAGAATGAGTTGCACCTTGGGAGAGACAGGATCGGTTTGGTCACAATAGAATACGAAGGGACATGGGATTTGGTAATCGGGGGTAAGGTGGATGATGTGGACGCTTGGCGTGAGGTTGAAGCTCAAGCGTCCTTCATACGGGATGCTATAGGCATGTCTCTGGTCGGAAGGACTGGGTTCGTTCGCATAAAATATATTTCGATGTTCGCGGAAGATGCTCCAGTCGATGCGCCGCAGTGTCTTACGTTCGGGTCGCCTGTTCGAACTTTGAATAAACGCATGTACACACCAGCCTGTCGTCATCGGTAGAAATGAAAGTTCTGAACGGATGTTATGTATCGTGTCCATGCAAAAAAAATGACGATAATGTCATCAGGGAATACAAAAAGGACACGCCGATTTCCTTATACATTACACACATAAGGTCATGGTGTGCGCACCTATCTCTCCATCTAAGTGCGAGTACACTCACACTTGCAGTGTGCACCTTGAGCATTCCACTTCAGTGGTGTGACCACCTAGCTCTCCATCTAACTGCGAGTTCACTCGCACTTGTGCTCTGAACCCCGAGCAATCCATTTAAGTGAATGTAATGAATCTATGTTGTGAAAGTTTTGATGACATTTTCATCCGGTAATATACAAATGATAAGCCAATGTCCATATTTAATCATCACTCTAATGGTGTGCGCACCTGCCTCTCCATCCGAGTGCGAGTTCATTCGCACGTAAGTGAGAGTTCACTTGCACTTTGCTTATGCGAGGAGCTTGTCGATATATAGTGCGGGGCGTAACGATTGAGTGTTGGCCGCACCTGAGGACTTATCATTGGCCAACTTTATTTACGACGGTCTACACGTATGTATGTGTCATTTGTGTGTCTGTGTAGGGAGCGTAATGTCGTCGACACCTTCGATAAGCGTCAGCATGAGTCCCGAGACGCACATGCGCTTGAGTTCCGAGAAGCTCATGCGATTAGCAAGACCGTTTTCACCTTGTGCGAGATCGGTGCGGTATCATGACGGTCAAACGTGGATCGACGAAGCAGCTAGGGAGGACTTCGACGAGGACCCATGGATGACCGTCGTCCCGTACATGAACCGGCATCTCGACGAATGGAACGATAATGATTGGAAGGCGATGGAGCGTGTCTGCCCTTGGGCAAGCCCTTACAAGTTTGCCAACATGTTAGAGTTCGGGAGCCTCATTGCACTGCCTGATGGTGTCCTCCAGCGAAAGACCCTGGACGATAAGGGTAAGCCGATCCGCTACCGTACCAGCTTCAGACGTCGCCTCTACTGCGAGTACATCATATCTTCGTCAAGAACTTGGGGAAGTTCGCAGAAGCAAGAGTTGGTGGACTGCGCTCGTCATTGTTCATTCTTGGAACACTACCCACCCCGTTGCCTAGAGACTTCTCCACAAGCTATATCGTATTGTTGTGTGCGGTTGACTGATGACGGATGTCCTTTCGCCAGAGTGCTATGTGTGGCTTCTTCAGACAAAAGTAGAAAACTGATGGATGTAGTTGTACTCGTGTCACGGAACGAGATTGTACAACAGGATTACAAATTCAAGCCGGTGATGTCTCGCCCCGATGTAGATGGGCGGTCAGATTTCGTGAGAGCAGGTCAGGTCACATGTTTAGAATTGTTTTATGAGGTGGAAGAGAAAGTGTTTGACATACGAGACTGTACAGGGAATTCCTTAGCACGACCCGGAGGGTTTGTTAGGATGAAATACATATCCGTGTTTTCGGAGAATGCAACAGTCGACGAGCCGCAGATCCATGTGTATGGATCATCTATGAATGCTATGTATGGCTTCTGTTCACGACCTCGTCCGCGGGAAACCCCGTATGTCACAAGTTACGGACGTGTGGTCAGACCTTGTGTTGAAGGGAAAACATGTTAAAATACAATCTTGTGGAACATGATGTCCATGTGCATGTGCACCTTGAAATGATGGATATGAAGTAGTAGATAGAGGTGCGAGAGGCAATAGTTGCAATAGGTGCGAGAGGCAACGTGTGATTGACTGATTTTTTGCTTTGAATGTTTTTCCGGAAACAACCCCTGTCTACTTTGCAATGTGCGGTTCAGTGATTTGAACATTTATCGCAACTCTGCGTGCGGTGTTTCCATCTACGAAGGTGCAATGTTAGGAAAAGACTATGCAAGTTGCGAATGTTTTCATCTCCACGTTGCAGTGACAAGAGTAAATGTTCTGAATGGATCTTATGTATCTTGTCCATGCAAAGAAATGACACGCCGATGACCTTGCAAGTGTTTCGATCTCTGATGTTCATGTCATGGGATGCATGGATGTCTTACAGTCCTATACATGCTCATGTCAAGGATTCCTAACATTCACTCTTGTCATTGATTTGTCCATGCAAATGACAAGCCAGCATCCATATTATATCACCGCGCTGATGGTGTGCGTTCATGTTGTCCATCCAAATGAGAGTTCACTTCGACTTGTGGTGTGTACCCTGAGCAATCCGCTAGTTGTCCATGCAAATGTCCAAGAACTGATAACATGCGGGATCTGGAGTTCAATTATGTTTCTTGAGTGTGAAACTCTGCTCGAAACAGATCCAAATCCAACAGGAAGTCCCACCACAGACCATCAAACCTTGCCCCGGTGGCGGACTTCGGCATCCAAGACTGCCCAGCAACTGCTAACATGCGGCAAGCAAATCCACACCCAGCATCAAGGTTCCCTTTGAGTGCATGGCCATCCGCACAAATAACCAACGACTGTTTGACACTTGTTGATGGTGCTCAGTCACCAAACCGATATCTGCGAATTGATTCGCTGTTCAACTAGTATTTGTCAATGCCTTTCCGGGTTAAAGCAAGGAGCTCTCTCTCTCTCTCTCTCTCTCTCTCTCTCTCTCTCTCTGTGTGTGTGTGTGTGTGTGTGTGTCTGTGTGTGTG